TCCTCCTCCTCTTCTACTTCTTCTATTTCTCTTCCTCCTCCTCTTTCTTTTTTTCCTCTTAATTCCTTCTTCCTCTCTTCCTCACCCCTCCCTATTTCCCTCCTCTCCCTCCCCCCATTTCCCCTCCTCCTCCCCTCCCCCCATTTCCCTCGTCTTCCCCCTCCCTCTTTCTCTCTTATATCCCCCATTTCCGCTCCTCTCTCTCCTTCTCCCATTCCCTCCCCTCCTTCCACCTCCTCCCTCTCCCCCTTCCCCCCATTTCCCTTTTCTTCCCCTCCTCTTCCCCTGTTCTTTCTCTTCCCTCTCTCTGCCCCCTCCCCCCATTTCCCCCCTCCCTCTCCCCCCATTTTCCCTCCTCCACTCCTCCCTCTCCCATCCCCTCCTCCAAACTCCTCCCCTCCCCTTTCCCCCCTTTCCCCCCCCTTCCCCCCCCTCCTCCTCCTCTCCTCCCTCTCCCCCTTCGCCCCATTTCCCTCCTCCACCTCCTCCCTCTCCCCTCCCCTCTCCCCCCCCTCCCCCTCCCCTTCCCCCCATTTTCCTCCCCTCTCCCCCCATTTCCTCCTCTTCCCCTGTTCTTCCTCCCCCACTCACTCTGCAAAATGCCATCCATACCTTTTGTGGAGGGTTTCTGCAGGAGGCGGGCGTGTCTCTTTGGGTCCAAGACTTTCTATGGAATTGCCAAGGCGAGGTCGGGGAGCAGGGGGGGAGGGGGGGGGAGGGAGGGGGGAGGGGGATGAGGGGAGGGGGAATGGAGGGGGGGGGGGGGGGGTGCTGGGGAATGGGGGGGCTAGAGGGGAGGGGGGGGAAGGGGAGGGGGAGGGGGCTAGGGGGGAATGAGGGGACTAGAGGGGGAAGGGGATGGAGGGGGCAAGGTGAGGGGATGGGATGGGGAAGGAGAGGGGGAGGGGTAGGGGGGGAAGGAGAAGGAAAGGAAGGAGGAGGGGGGGGGAAGCTGGGGGAGGGGAGGGGAATGGAGGGGACTAGAGGGGGGAGGGGAATGGCAAGGTGGGAGGGGAGGGGGAAGGGGGGTAGGAGGGATGGGGGGGGCTAGGGGAATGGAGAGGGAGGGGGAAGGGGGTGGGGGCTAAGGAATGGAGGGAGACTAGGGGGAAGGGGAATGGAGGGGGCAAGGTGGGAGGGGGAGGGGGAAGGGGGGTATGGGGAGGACTCTTACTTTACTCTGTGTCTTATTTATGTCTTCCCGTATTTTTTTTCCTTGTTCATATTTATTTTTAAATTTCTTTCATTATGTCTTGTTTCCTTCATTTCTTCTGCATCTTCTTTTATTGCCTCCTCCTCCGTCTCCTCTTCTTTCATCTCTCCTCCTCCTCCTCCTTATCATCATCATCTTGCTCTTCTCCTCCTTCTCCTCCTCTTCCTCCTCCTTATCATATCCTTTCCTCCTCCTCCTCCTCCTCCCTTTCACTATTTTTCCCCTCTTCTTATCTCCCTGCTTCGTCTTTGCTTCTATGAATAGTCCTGTCACATTTATTACTTTCGTATGATATCATGTGTCTTCTATCTCTCCTTCGCTTCCTCTCTCTCTTCTACGCTCGCCTGTCTGTTTGTTATTCTGTCTGTTATTTTGTCTCTGTCTCTCTGTCTGTTTGTCTTCTCTCTCTTTCTCTCTATTTTTCTTTCGCTCTCTCTCTCTCTTTATCTCTCTTTCTTTCTTTCTTTCTCTCTTCTCTCTCTCTCTCTCTCTCTCTCTCTCTCTCTCTCTCTCTCTCTCTCTCTCTCTCTCTCTCTCTCTCTCTCTCTCTCTCTCTCTCTCTCTCTCTCCTTTCCTCCTTTCACTTCTTCCCAAAGAAGTTTAGAAATAGAAACAGGGAATAAATGCAAGAAGGAAATAAACACAAGAGCGACCTTGGTATTTGTTCAGCCTTGAGGGGGAGGAGGAGGAGGAGGGAGAGAGGAGGAGGAGAGGAGGAAAGAGAGAAGAAGAAGAAGAGAAGAAGAAGAAGAAGAAGAAGAAGAAGAAGAAGAAGAAGAAGAAGAGAAGAAGAAAGAAGAGAGAGGAAGAAGAAGAAGAAGAAGAAGAAGAAGAAGGAGGAGAAGGAGAAGAAGAAGAAGAAGAAGAAGAAAAGGAAAAAAGAAGGAGGAGGAGGAAGAGAAAAGAAATAATAATAATTAGAAGAAAGAGAAGGGGGTGGAGGAGGAGGAAGAGGGGAGGAAGAGTAGAAGAGCGGAGGAGGAGAGAAGAGGGAGGAGGAGAAGAAGAAGAAGAGAAAGAAGAAGAAGAAAGAGAAGGGGGAGGAGGAGGAGAGGAGGAGGAGGCGAGAGCGGAGGGTGAAGGACGGGGAAGAGGAAGGGGGGCGAGGGAGGGAGGAGGAGGAGGGAGTGAGGAGGAGGAGGAGAGGGGAGAAGAGGGAGGAAGAGAGGACAAGAGAGACATGAGATATAAATATTATCTCAGCGTGTGTGTGTGTGTGCGTCTGTGTGTACATTTAGGCTTGTGTGTGCGTATAGGAGTTCACGTCTTAATGCACGTGACTTCATGCATGTGTGCGTACTATATTTATGGCCGTGTGTGTGTGTGTGTGCGTGGTGTGTGTGTGTGTGTGTGTGCGTGTGTGTGTGTGTGTGTGTGTGGTGTGTGTGTGTGTGTGTGTGTGTGTGTGTGTGTGTGTGAGTGAGTGAGTGAGTGAGTGAGTGAATAAGTAAGTGTGGTGGTGTGTGTGTTGAGTGAGTGTATGAGTGCGTGAGTGAGTGAATAAGTAAGTGTGTGTGTTGTGTGTGTGAGTGAGTGTATGAGTGTGTGATAAGTAAGTGTGTGTGTGTGTGTGTTTAAAGTATTTGTTTGTTTGTTGTGTGAGAGCGTAAGCACCGAATAACGTCTTGGATGTTGTGTTAAGAACAGCTGCGAGACGGAGAAAACGCCCACATAATGGCCCACTACCCCCTCCCCCCTCTTTCTCTTTCTTCCTTTCTTTCTTTCCCTGCCCCCTCTCTTCCTCTTTTTTTCTTTCTTTCCCTGCCCCCTCTCTTCCTCTTTTTCTCTTTCTTTCCCTGCCCCCCCTCTCTCTCTCTCTCTTTTGCCTTTCTTTCTTTCCTCCTCCTCCTCTTCTCTTTCTCCTCTCTCCTTCTTTTCTTTCTTTCCCTGCCCCCCTTCTCTCTCTTCACTTCCTCTCTTTCTTTCCCTGCCCCCTCTCCACTTTCACTCTCTCTCTTTCCATTTTTTTCTTTCTCTGGACACAAATACCCTCCCTCCCCCTTCCCCTCCCCCTCCCCCTCCCCTCCCTCCCCTCCCCCTCCCTCTCCTCTCCCTCTCCCTCTCCTCTCCCTCCCTCTCTCCCTCTCCCTCTCCCTCTCCCTCTCCCTCTCCCTCTCCCTCTCCTCTCTCCCTCTCCCTCTCCCTCTCCCTCTCCTCTCCTCTCCCCTCTCCTCTCCCTCTCCCTCTCCCTCGCATTCCACTGACATTGAGTTCATATTATCAATGGCATGACTGCTGACTTCCATTGGCGTAAGAATTAAATCATTACCCAAGATTACCAAAAATATATATCTTTGTCCATAAATATCACAAAGAATTGATTCCAAAACATAGCAACGCATAAAAAAGTACATAAGGTAGATTATATATGATGTAGTATACAATACCGTTATAGAATATCAGTAGACGAGGAAAAGAATATTGATGGAAACTTGTAAACCAAATTTATCTCTCTTCCTTTTTACTGATTTTGTGACGAATATGTTGCACGGTATAGTTACAATATACAATATACAATATACAATAGATGATAGATTAGTGATAAGGAATATATAATCCTACATTTTTTTCACCTTTTTCATTGCTACAGAATATCAATATGTAGTCATACATGTAACGCACAGTATAATTTACGTTATAGAGAAAAAAAAAAAATAGACAAAAAAGCAAAATGAAGAAAATAAAGGAATAATGAAATATCTATAAACATATAAAAATATAAATAATATAGAAATAAATGAGTATCAAAATATTTATGTATCTACCTATCTTTATATATATGTATATTTTTTTCCTTTTTTACCATGTCCTCTCTCCCTAAACGGCAGATCTGGGAAGTGATAAAATGATTTTATATACAGGATGCAGAACACCATGGACACAAATACCCCCCCCCCAACAACGACAAAAAAGTGATTAAGAAAATAACAAAATAGACAAATAGACAAACACAAATACCCCTCAGTAACAACAACAAAAAAGAGATTAAGAAAATAGATGACAAAATATCTAAACAAATACAAAAAAAAAAAAAAAAGTGTTTAACCCAAGCCTCTCTCTCCCACTAACAGTTCTAAGAGGTGATCTCAGTATACAGTACTTTACGGACACACCAATAAATGGACAAATAAGTATAATAAATGGAAAAACAGATAAATAATTAACAAAATATACCTAATATAAAAAAAAGTCTTTAACCCAAGCCTCTCTCTTCCCGCCAGTTCTGGGAAGTGATCTCAGTTAACATACAGTATACAGTACTTTATAGACCCACAAATAAATGGACAACCAAATAAATAAACAACAAATTAAATAACTGGACAAACAAATAAATAAACAACAAAATAAATAAAAGGACAAACAAATAAATAAACAACAAAATATCCCTAATATAAATAAAAGTGTTTAACCCAAGCCTCTCTCTTCCCGCCAGTTCTGGGAAGTGATCTAAGTTAACATACATTATACAGCACTTTACAGACCCACAAATAAAAGCACAAACAAATAAATAAACAACAAAATAAATAATGGACAAACAAATAAATAAACAAAATATCCCTAATAAAAAAAAGTGTTTAACCCAAGCCTCTCTCTTCCCGCCAGTTCTGGGAAGTGTTCTCAGTTAACATACAGTATACAGCACTTTACAGACCCACAAATAAATAAACAACAAAATAAATAACTGGACAAACAAATAAATAAACAACAAAATAAATAAATGGACAAACAAATAAATAAAACAAAATATCCCTAATATAAAAAAAAAGTGTTTAACCCAAGCCTCTCTCTTCCCGCCAGTTCTGGGAGGTGATCAGCGACGAACATGGCATCGACCCCGTGGGCCAGTACAGCGGAGACACCGACATGCAGTTGGAGAGGATCAACGTGTACTACAATGAGGCCTCTGGTACAATGGGAGGTGGGGGAGAAGGGCTAATGTGTGCTTGTACCTGAATGCCAGCCTGCCAGACTGCATGCAAGCGGCAAGCGAGGGAGCGAGCCGGCGGAATGGAGCAATGGAGATTCGGACGTCAACCGATGGAGTTTTTTTTTTTTTTTTTTTCTTGGATTAACCCTGGTGTTGTTGTTGTTGTTTGTTTGAGATTTTTTGGTTTTGTTTTGGTTACTTGTATTTTTTTTTTGTGTTGCGTTTTTTTTTTTTCTTGGGTTTGAGTTTTTTTTCTTTCAAACGTTTTTTTTTTTTTCGAGATTAAAAAAATATTGGAATGCTGTTATATACTGTTAGATTTTTTTTTTCTTATTAATCTTATTTTATTTTACTGTGATCTCAGTCAACTTTCTATAGCTTTCACAAACTATTAAAAATTAATAAAAAAAAAACTCAACTACTTTTAAAATCTTTTAAAATTCTGGTTTACTAGACCAACTATTATTAATAAAACTCATGGAATTTTAAAAAATTCTCTTGCATTCCTTTTTCTTTCAACTTGGCTTCTGTTAATGCCTTTAATTCTATTGCAATTTTCGACTAATTTTTAAATATTTTTATTAATAATTTAATATTTCTATATTATATCGACTAATAATTTAATATTTCTTTCCACTAACTTCTCTGCATTTGCATAGTCCTAATACAAACCCTATTTATGGGCTAAATATTTAACTTTTTTTAAGTATTTTTTTCTTTCATTTGATTTCGTTATTACTGTTTCTTTTAAAATTACTAAAAACAATTATTTTTCTTTTTATCTTAATTTCAGTTTATTTTTGTTGATTTTTTTTCTTGGAATTAAAAACCTTTGCAAAATTTGACTAAAATAATAATAGATGTACTACGTAAAATTAATAAATAAGCTAATCTATATTTGATATCATATATAGATGTGAACAAATTCCATTTAAATTCCCTATTTTCTGTCTTTCCATAAACGTAGATAAAATAATTAGCAATATCATACCTGATTTATCTATCTTTTAAAGAATATTAGTTAACTTTTCTTTTCTGAATAACTTCCAATAAAAGTAGATGAATATTATTTTTTTTTATTAGGTTCACCTAGTTTACGAAATGTATAAACAAAAGATAGTAACTATAAAGCATATAACTTAAAGAACATATATTTACAACTTGTAAACAAATATTACTAACTTTCACCATGATTCCGTATTCCATAATTAATATCCAACAAAAGTAGATGCAATAAGAAAAAAAAATCAATAAAATTAGAGAAAGAAAAATTTAAAAAAATATATCCTCGTCAAATCTCCAGAACTAAGCCCCGCCCCTTTTTCCTCAGGAGGGAGGTATGTCCCGCGCGCCGTGTTAGTCGACCTCGAACCGGGCACGATGGAGGCCGTTCGCTCGGGCCCCGTCGGCAAGATCTTCCGTCCCGACAATTTCGTCTTCGGTCAGAGCGGCGCTGGTAAGTGGGCGGTAGGTGGTGGGAAAGTGGGCGGTAGGGTGGTGGGTAGTGGGCGGTAGGCTGGTGGTTAGTGGGCGGTGGGGTAGGATGGCAGGGTAGTGGGCCATGGGGTGGGTGGTGGTGGGTGGTGGGCAGTGGGGCAGGGTAGGTGGAATGGAGCGGTGGGCGGTGGGTAGCAGGGTAGTGGGCCATGAACGGGTGGGTGGGAAAGTGGGTAGTGGGCGGCGGATGGTAGGTGGCAGTGTAGTGGGTGGTAAGGTTTCAGTAAAACAAAAATAATAATGAAGATTTTATTTATATGTATTTTTTTAGTTGTAGAAGGTTATTGGTAAAAAAAAAACAAAAAAAAAGTAATGGAAAGATATACATACTTCTTGTTTTGTTGTACTTTTTGTAAGAAAAAATAAGTAAACATTACATGGGATTATTATTATTTTTTTTTTTTTACCTTAAGGCTCTGAATAAGGGAAAAAATATGAATAACGTTTTTAAAAACCATGTGTTTATATATTTACAAAATTAAGAATAAGAGAGGTGAAAATAACATCTATTTGAAAAATTTTGAATATTGTTTTGACTTCGATTTTAATAAATGTTACTTATTTTCATTTTCTGTAAGAGTCCGTCAGTTTTTTTAATGTTCAAGTTAATAAAAATAAGTGATAGTATTACCTACTGCCTCTGTCATTCGTAATAAAATAAAATAAATAACAATGACTAAATATTCTCTTCCTTTTCTCTTCTCTCCCTCCCTCTTTTCCACTCTCTCCTTCCGTCAATCTTTCTCTCCCTGCCTCTTTCATACCCTTTCTTCCTATTTCCTAATTCCTCGCTTCCCCTCCTCCCCTCTATCCCCTTTTCCTTCCCTCACCTCATCCTCCCCTTTCTCTAACCCCCTATTCCCTTCCTTCTCCCCTCCCTCCCCTCCTCCATACCCTCCCAACTCCCTATTTCCTTCCCTCCCTCCCCCAACCCCATCCTTACCTTCTTCACCCTTCAACCCCTCCTTCCAACCCCTTACTTCCACCTAACCCTCTCTCCTCACCCCACCCTCTCCCCACCCTCAACCCCCTCACTCCCCCCTAACCCCTCCTTCCAACTCCTACCCACCCCTCAACCCCGTCTCCACCCCCTCCCCACCCCCTCCTTCTAACCCCCTCCAAACCCCTTTACCCCCCTCACTTCCCCCTTCCACCCCCCACCCTCTCCTCACCCCTTTACCCCCTCCCCTCTCCACCCCCCACCCCGCCTCCCTCTCCACCCCGCAACCCCTCCTCCCAACCCTCAACCCCTCTCAACCCCACCCCACCCCTCTCAACCCCCCTCCCCCCCACCCCCCAGGCAACAACTGGGCCAAGGGCCACTACACCGAGGGCGCCGAGCTCGTGGACTCCGTGATGGACGTGATGCGCAAGGAGGCCGAGAACTGCGACTGCCTGCAGGGGTTCCAGCTCACCCACTCCCTCGGGGGGGGCACGGGCTCGGGCATGGGCACGCTGCTCATCTCCAAGATCCGGGAGGAGTACCCCGACCGGATCATGAACACGTTCTCCGTCATACGAGTCCGAAGGTGGGTGGGAGGGTGAGGGGTTGGGTGTGGGTGTGGGGTGAAGGGTGAGTGGGTGGGGTTGGGGGGTGGGTTGGGTGAGGGTGGGCGTGTGGGGTGAGGGTGGGTTGGGGGTGGGTTGGGGTGGGGGGGGTGTGTGAGGGGTGTGAGGGGAGAAGTGGAGTGGTAAAAACCAGGTATTTGTGTGTGTATATATATATATATATATATATATATATATATATATATATATATATATATATATATATTATATATTACACACATATATATGATATATGTGTGTGTGTGTTTGTGTGTGTGTGTGTGTGGAGAGAGAGAGAAAAAAAAAAGAAAAAGAGAAGAGAAAGACAAAGATAGATAAAAGCCAGACATAATAAGAGAGAAAAAACACGAAAACAAGCAAATCAAATCCAAAACAAATCCATTCAGACCGCACCAGCTCCGACCCCCCCCCCCCCCCCCCTCTCTTCCCACCGGAAACGAGACTCCCCTCCCTTCTACCTCCCCCCTCCCCCACTAACCCCTCCCTTTCCCTTACCTTTTCAAAACAAACGAAAGTCTCACTCAACCTCCTCCACAAACTCACCCCCTCCACCCCCCTCCACAACTCTCCAACTCACCCCCTCCACCTCCCCAACTCCCCCTCAACCCCTCCACCTCTCCAACTCTCCACAACTCTTCCAAACTCACCCCCCCCCCCCCAACTCTCCACCCCTCTCCACAACTCTCCAACTCACCCCCTCCTCCACCTCTCCCCTCACTCCTCTCTCTCACCCCCTCCTCCACAACTCTCCAACTCACCCCCTCCTCCAAACTTCTCCAACTCACCCCCTCCTCCACAACTCTCCACCCCCTCCTCCACAACTCTCCAAACTCCCCCTCCACCCCCCCCCTCCTCCTAACTCTCCACTCACCCTCCACCACCACCTCCACCACCACCCTCCTCCACAACTCTCCACCCCCCTCCTCCACCCCCTCCTCCCACAACTCCAACTCACCCCCTCCTCCACAATTCTCCAACTCACCCTCTCCCAACTCACCCCCTCCACCCCCCCCCTCCTCCACAACTCTCCCAACTCACCCCCTCCACCCCCTCCTCCACAACTCTCCAACTCACCCTCTCCACCCCCCCCCCCCTCTTCCATGCTCTTCCACTCACCCCCTCCACTCCTCCCCCTCCACACCGCCCTACCCTCCACAACTCTCCAACTCACCCCCTCACCCCCCAATCCACCCACCCACCCCTCCACAACTCTCCAACTGACCCCTCCACCCCCCCCCTCCTCCACAACTCTCCAACTGACCCCCTCCACCACCTCTCCCCCCCCTCCACCCCTCCACAAACTCTCCAACTGACCCCCTCCACCCCCTCCTCCCCCACAGGTCTCAGACACGGTCGTGGAGCCATACAACGCCACGCTGTCAGTCCACCAGCTGGTCGAGAACACGGACGAGACCTTCTGCATAGACAACGAAGCCCTCTACGACATCTGCTTCAGGACGCTGAAACTCACCTCTCCTTCGTATGGGGACCTGAATCACCTGGTGTCCGTGAGTAGGAGGGTTTCTTGGGTTGGGGGGTGTTTTTTTTTTTTTTTTTTTTTTTTTTTTTTGCTGTTGTTGTGTTTTTTGTTTGTAGTTTTTGTTTGTCGTTTTTTTGTTTTGTAGTTTTTTTTGTTTTTGTTTCTGTTTAGTTTTTTTTGTTGTTGTTTTTTGTCTGTAGGGGTTTTTTGTTTTGTCTGTGGTTTTTGTTGTTTTTTGTCTGTAGTTTTTGTTGTTGTTGTTTTTTTCGTCTTTTGTCGTTTTTTTTTTTTTTTTTGGTCTGTAGTTTGGGGTCTGTAGTTTTTTTTTTTTTTGTCTATTTTTTAGTCTGTACTTTTTTATGTCTGTAGTTTTTTTGTCTGTATTTTTGACTGTACCTTTTGTCTAGTTTTTTCTGTATTTTTTGTTGTCTTTTGTCTGTAGTTTTTGTTTTTGTTTTGTTTGTGTTTAGTGAGTTGTTTGTTTAGGTGATCATATTGTTGATGAGATTTATAGAGAATAATTTTTGCCCTAACCACTACTCTGCCCTTATGCTAAACCTCAGGTGCAAATTGCAACACCATGTTATTCCTCTAACCACACTCTTTTCTTATTGCTAATTTTCAACATCCCAATGCAGGTCACGATGTCCGGGGTGACCACATGCCTCAGGTTCCCAGGCCAGCTCAACGCAGATCTCAGGAAGTTGGCAGTTAACATGGTACCTTTTCCACGTCTCCACTTCTTCATGCCAGGCTTCGCACCTCTCACCTCCAGAGGGTAAGGTTCGGGCGTGGGCAGGGTGTGGTTGAGGTCGAGGGGACGGGTGTGGTTGAGGGGAGGGGCGTGGGCGAGGGGAGGGGTTGAGGGATGAGGGGAGGGGTGTGGTTGAGCGGTGGGGTCGAGGGGACGGGTGTGGTTGAGGGGAGGGGCGTGGCGAGGGGAGGGGTTGAGGGGAGGGGTGTGGTTGAGCGTGGGGTGGGTGTGGTTTGGGGAGGGGGTCAGGGGTCGAGGGGAGGGGTTAAGGGTAGGGTGTGGTTGATGGGTGTGGTCGAGGGAGAGGGGTGGGGGAAGGGGTTGAGGGGCGAGGGTGGGGGGTGAGTTTATTTGAAAGTCGTTGGGTTTTTAGAAATGGAGAGAGGGAAGGTGATGAGGGGTGGGGGGGGTATGGTTGTTATATAAATTTTTTTCTAACTCTTTCTTACTGCTCCCTTCTCCACTTTTTCTTCCTCCAACCTCTCTCTCTCTCTCTCTCTCTCTCTCTCTCTCTCTCTCTCTCTCTCTCTCTCTCTCTCTCTCTCTCTCTCTCTCTCTCTCTCTCTCTCTCTCTCTCTCTCTCTTCCCTCCTCCTCATGTACTCACCCCACTTACGATCTACTTTAACACCTCCACTGACTCTCACGGGATTAGCATACTCATTTCTGGTATAGATCATAAAAAAGTATACGAACTGACACCTGGGAAAGCACAATTGATACCGAGTCAAAAGCAATATGCCATGCCGTTAAAAAAAGGTAGTGAACAGCAGTGACATTTGGCATTACAGACAGAAAGGGTGCAGTTCATAGGGTCACTGCATTTCGTTCAGAAAAAAACATGGTAACTTGAAATATCCTTCACCAAATTTGTAGATTATCTGAGCATTATTATTACAAATTTGTAGATTATCTGAGATTATCAGAGTAGGGTATTCATGTGTCACTGTGCTGGGTACCCTCTTCTATAGTTGATCAAGTGGCCATATTAGGACTCTCCCATGAAGAACCATAGTATGCAGTACCATTTACTCTCAGTCAGTGGAAAAAGTGGTATCAGTTGTCTTCGAATTTATGAGGGTCAGGTATGGACCACTGGAAAGATGAAGAAAAGCGGATATGGTACATTCAGGTATTATGAAAAAAGCGGATATGGTACATTCTGGTATTATGAAAAAAAGCGGATATGGTACATTCTGGTATTATGAAAAAAAGCGGATATGGTACATTCTGGTATTATAAAAGTATTGCTGGGGCATTAGATTTGGACAAACCCTATAAAGTCTATTATGGACTGTCTCGGAGGCAGCAAGTTACATTGATTTGGCTACGCATAGGATATCGGTACACTATATAATATGTATAGGATAGATTTTGAAAACAAAATTAATTTCGTATCACCACTGCATAATGTGCAAGGCGCCCGAGTTGCATAATCTCACGCATTACTTGCATTGCTGCACGAAACTGCATCCTATCGATCAAATAGCATTGCCCAAAGAATTGTATTTTTTTATTATTTTAATTTTATTGCAGGTTTTGTCTGTGATATGTTTAGTGATATATTTTTTGCCGACCATATAGTATGTGAATAATGCAGGCACACTAACACAAACCCTTGTGCATATAAAAATAACGTTTGAGTGATAGTCCTCTACATCAATAGAAACCCAGCCATTTTGGATAGATGCTTGGACATCTTACCCTTGGCTTTTTTTGCAGGACATGTACACTGTTCTGTAAATAAACCCCACCAACTGAAATCTCTCTCTACTCTCTCCTTCTCTGCTCTGTAAATACATTCTATCAACTCAAATCAATCCCCTCTCCTCTCTAGTCTGTAAATAACCCACCCCTCTCTCCCTTTCTGCTCTATAAATAAAACCTATCAAACTCAAATCTCTCCCTCTCTGCTCTGTAAAATAAATCTTTTAAACTCATCAAATCTCTCCCTCTCTCTGCTCTGTAAACAAAACCCACCAACTCAGACCCTTCTCTCTCTCTATCTCTGTAGACAAAACCCTACCAACTCAGATCCTTCTCCTCTCTGCTCTGAAATCTCTCTTCTACTCTCTCCTCTGCTTGTAAATAAATTCTATCAACTCAACTCAAATCCCTCTCCATCTCTACTCTATAAACAAACCCCCACCACCTCAACTCCCTCTCCCTCTCTCCCTCTCTCTACTCTATAAACAAACCCCCACCACCTCAACTCCCTCTCTCCCTCTCTCCCTCTCTTGCTCTATAAACAAACCCCACCACCTTAACTCCCTCTCTCCCTGTCTCCCTCTCTCTACTCTATAACAAACCCCCACCACCTCAACTCCCTCTCCATCTCTCCTCTCTCTAACTCTAATAAACAAACCCCACACAACTCAACTCCTCTCCCTCTCTCCTCTCTCTACTCTATAAACAAACCCCACCACCTCAACTCCATCTCCCTCTCTCTGCTCTATAACAACCCCACCACCTCAACTCCCCTTCCTCTCTCTACTCTATAAACACCCCCACCCCTCAACTCCCTCTCTCCCTCTCTCCCTCAGATCTCAGAGTTACCGGGCCCTCACCGTCCCCGAACTCACCCAGCAGATGTTCGACAGCAAAAACATGATGACAGCCTGCGATCCCAGACACGGCCGCTACCTCACCGTGGCCGCCATCTTCAGAGGCAGGATGTCCATGAAGGAGGTGGACGAACAGATGCTCTCCGTTCAGAACAAGAATTCCAGGTGAGGATTTAGAGGTTGTTAGAAGGATTGCAGGTGAGGAATTCGTTGTTCTTAGAAGGATTCCAGGTAATTTAGTGCCCTGAGGGGAGGGGGCTCTCCGTTCAGAACAAGAATTCCAGGTGAGGATTCTGTGGTTGTTAGAAGGATTGCAGGTGCGAATTTTGTTGTTCTTAGGATTCCAGGTGAGATAGTGTCATTAGAGGAGGCGCTCTCCGTTCAGAAAAGAATTCCAGGTGAGGATTTTGCGGTTGTTAGAAGGATTGCAGGTGCGAATTTTGTTGTTCTTAGAAGGATTCCAGGTGAGGAATTCCAGGTGAGATAGTGTCATTAGAGGAGGCGCTCTCTGTTCAGAACAAGAATTCCAGGTGAGAATTTTGCGGTTATTAGAGGGATTCCAGGTGAGTTGGTTTTTTAAGGGATGCGATCTCTGTTCAGAACAAGAATTGCAGGTGAGAATCTCTTTTTTATTATTTAGACAACTCCAGGTGAGAATTTTCGATTAGAGGAATTCCAGGTGAGATAGTGTCATTAGAGGAGGCGCTCTCCGTTCAGAACAAGAATTCCAGGTGAGGATTTTGCGGTTATTAGTGAAATTCCAGGTGAGGATTCTGCGGTTGTTTGGAGGAATTCCAGGTGAGAATTTTGTTTCTTAGGATTTCTTAGAAGAATTGCAGGTGAGAATTTTGTTGTTCTCAGAGAAATTCCAGGTGAGGATTTTGTTGTGCTTAGGAGGATTCCAGGTGCTTGTGTGTCCTTAGGGGAGGCGATCTCTGTTCAAAACAAGAATTCCAGGTGAGAATTCAACGGTTATTAAAAGGATTCCAGGTGAGAATTTTGCTGTTATTAGGAGATTTCCATTTCTATCTATATTTGTCTCGTTTATTATCTCCTTTTTATCTATATTTGTCTCGTCTCGTTTATTATCTCCTTTTATCTATATTTCTCTCGTTTATTATCTCCTTTTTATATATTTCTTTCGTTTATTACTCCATTACATTTTTTACATTCCTTATCTTCATTCTTCTCTATATTTCTTTCGTTTATCACTTCCATTACTTATCTTTCTTTATACATTCCCCAGTTACTTCGTGGAGTGGATCCCGATTAGCTATTACGTTTATTATCTCCTTTCTTCTCTATATTTCTTTCGTTTATTACTCCCATTACATTTTTTACATTCCTTATCTCATCTTCTATATTTTCTTTTCGTTTATTACTTCCATTCTTTATCTTCCTTTATACATTCCCCAGTTACTTCGTGGAGTGGATCCCGAATAACGTGAAGGTGGCAGTGTGTGACATTCCATTTCTTTATTATTTACATTAATTCTTTCGTTTATTATCTCCATTTTATCTTTACTTCTTTCGTTTGTTACCTCCATTTTCATCTACATTTCTTGCATTTGTTATCTTCATTTTTATCTATATTTTCCTTCGTTTATTACCTCCATTTTGATCAGCATATCTTACAATTGTCATCTCCATTTTCATCTCCATTTCTTACATTCTTTATCTTCATTCTTCTCTATATTTCTTTCGTTTATCACTTCCATTACTTATCTTTCTTTATACATTCCCCAGTTACTTCGTGGAGTGGATCCCGAATAACGTGAAGGTGGCAGTGTGTGACATTCCATTTCTTTATTATTTACATTAATTCTTTCTTTATCTCGTGTATTATCTCCTTTTATCTCTATTTCTTTCGCTTATTCCATTTTTTATCTTTCTTTATACATTCCCCAGTTACTTCGTGGAGTGGATCCCGAATAACGTGAAGGTGGCAGTGTGTGACATTCCCCCGCGAGGCCTCAAGATGTCTGCCACTTTTATCGGAAACTCGACAGCCATTCAGGAAATCTTCAAGGTACGTTTGGAAGGAAGGAGGGAGGGGAGGGAAGGAAGGGAAGAGGGGGGGAAGAGGAAGGGAGGGAGGGAGGGAGAGGGGAGGAAGGGAGGAGGGGAAGGGAAGGGAGGAAGGAGGGAAGGGAGGGAAGGTGGGAGGGAGGAAGGGAGGAAGGAAGGGGAGGGAAGGGAGGAAGGAGGGAAGGAAGGGAGGAAGGGAAGGTGGGAAGGGGGAAGGAAGGAAGGGGGAAGGGAAGGATGGAGGAGGGAGGAAGGAAGGGGGAAGGGAAGGAAGGGAGGGAGGGAGGGAGGGAGGGAGGGAGGCCTCAAGATGTCTGCCACTTTTATCGGAAACTCGACCGCCATTCAGGAATCTTCAAGGTACGTTTGGAAGGAGGGAGGGAGGGGAGGAAGGGAAGGAGTGAGGGAGGAAGGGGCGTTGGGAAGAAGAAGGAGGGGAGAAGAAGGGAGGGGGAAGGGAAGGGGGAAGGGAAGGAGGAAGGGAGGGAAAGGGGAAGGAAGGGAAGGAAAGAAGGGGAGAGGAAGGGAGCGAGGAGGAAAAGCAGGGAAGAAAAAGGAAGGGAGGGAAGAAGGGAAGGGGAGGAAGGAGGGAGGGAGGAGGAAAAGCAGGGAAGGGAAGAAGGGAAGAGAAGGAAAGAGGGAAGGAAGGATGGGGTTGAGGGTTGAAGTAAGAGAAGGAATGAAGGAAGGAGGGAGAGGGGGAAGTGAGAAGAGAAAAGGATATAGAGAACGAAGGAAGGGGATAATAAGGGAAGGCAGAGTGAGAAGAAAAAGAGGAAGAGAGGTATGGTAGAGGAGGGAGAAGAGAAAATGAGGGAACAGGGAGGGAGAAAGAGGCAAGAGGCAGGGAAAGGGGGAAGATAGAGGAAGAAAGAGGAAAAGAGCGAGGGAAAGCGAGGTAAGAAGGAAGGAGGAGGCGGGAGGAGGGGAGAAAGAAGGTGGAAAGAAAGAGTAAGGAATAAATATGTTTATTTATTTATTTATTTATGTGATGTATGTATACTTATTTCTCTTTCTCTCTCTCTCCCCACATTCGTTCATTCTCTCTCTCTCTCTCTCTCTCTCTCTTCTCTCTCTCTCTCTCTCTCTCTCTCTCTCTCTCCTCTCTCTCTCTCTCATCTCTCTCTCTCTTTCCTCTCTCTCTCTCTCTCTCTCTCTCTCTCTCTCTCTCTCTCTCTCTCTTCTCTCTCTCTTCTCTCTCCTCTCTCTCTCTCTCCTCTCTCTCTCTCTCTCTCTCTCCTCGTCTCTCTCTCTCTCTCTCTCTCTCTCTATCTCTCTCTCTCTCCTCTCTCTCTCTCTCTCTCTCTCTCTCTTCTCTCTCTCTCTCTCTCTCTCTCTCCTTCCCACATTCGCCCCACCCCTCTAATTCTCTAATTCTCTAATTCTCTCTCTCTCTCTCCTCTAATTATCTTATTCTCTCTCCCCCCGCCTCCCCCCCAAACAGCGCATTTCCGAGCAGTTCACAGCCATGTTCCGGCGGAAAGCTTTCCTCCACTGGTACACCGGCGAAGGCATGGACGAGATGGAGTTCACCGAGGCCGAGTCCAACATGAACGACCTGGTCTCGGAGTACCAGCAGTACCAGGAGGCCACGGCGGACGATGAGGACTTCCTGGACGAGGAGGAGGCCGAGGAGGAGCTGGTGGAGGAGCAGTAGATAGGGTGTGTGAGAGGAGGAGAGAGGAGAGTGAGAGAGAGAGGGGGGGAGGGTGATGGTAAGAATGCGAGAGAGAGAGAGAGAGAGTGGGAGGGAGGAAGAAAGGAGAGGATGAGAGGACGAGGAGGGGGAAAATGAGGTAATGGCGAGATCCTCGTTTTGGTTGAGAGAGAGAAAGAATAAGAATAAGAGAAAAAAGAGAGAAAGAGAGAGAGAGAGAGAGAGAGAGAGAGAATCTAGGTTGATTATCTGCTTCTTGCAAGGAATCAATCTTAAGTCAATTGATGAGTCGAAAGCAATGTATGCATTTGAAAGCTTTTGATTTTGAAAGAAATTGAAGAGAGAGAGAAAAAAAAATGGGGTTTCCAAGAATTTAGGTAATAATTATATTTTGATTAAGAGTCATCACAAAAAAAAAAAAATGATTTTGAGAAGTGGAAACGGTAAAGAATCGTTATCATGATGGAAAGTAAAGAGATGGAAGTCAGAGAAAATAATGATGATAACAAAAAGAGATACTTATTCTAGTCATTACTAATATGCACAGGACATATTGTGTAATGAGAATCGATAGGTCATCATCACACCTATTCATCACTCAATATTTTGTTTTCTTTATATTGCAGATCAATAACTTATTCCATTGCGTAAAAAAAAAAAATCTAGTTGATATGATCTGATAAAAATAAAAATCAAGATCATAAAATCAGTTCCTTTAAAAAAATATATATATATATATGATTTTTCAGTATCATTTACATGTTGCTCTTTATACCGTACTTTTCATGTGCCTTATACAAGAGTCCATAAAATGATCAGATTTCGCCAAGTTCGTAAACACACAAATTACATAAGTTTTCCTTGGCATTTGTTCCCTAAATACCTAATTATTTGACGATAGAATCCATGTCACGTTATACAGGAACACGTCAAAGAACCGAGTGCATTTGTCATGTCATATAGGCACTCGTTCGATCGGAGAATGTCCAAGTGTATTTCAAATGGCCGTTGTCATGGCTGAGTGTATGACTGTTGAATACCGTGTTGTATGCCCTGGTGCTCTTCTGCGTCAAAACTGATTTTTTTTTTTTTTTTTGTTTTTTTTTTCTCCTCAACTAGAATTATTTTGTTAATTTGGAATAAAAACACTTGAAGTTCGCGTTGGTTTTATTCAATTCACCAAAAAAAAAAAAAAAAAAAGGAGAGGTATGGTGTACTAATCTCCCTTCTTTTTAAGTCTATGAACTTTATATAAACCAGTTGAAAACTTCATTATATACTTAGATTTCGTATCATGCAGCTATAATATTATATGATACGCACACACTGCTACCTGTATAGATAAGATTGTTTACCTTTCCACACACACACATGTATAGATATATATGTGAAGGCAGATTTACATAAATGGAGATATTCTTAACTTTTTTATATCTAGAGGAGCAGTTTTTGATAGATCAAGGCTACGCATATTAATAACGGTAGCATAGCAATAATCGTAGTAATAATCAGAGAGTAATAATGGTAATAATCTGCTTTGTGCCGATCGCCATGCTACCTAAGTAAAGTGGTAGAAAGCGGAATAAGAATGCGAATAATAAAAGTAAAGTGGAGAAATCGAAGAGAGAAAGAGAGGGGAGAGAGAGAGAGAGAGAGGAGAGGGTGTAAAGAATTCATATGAAAATAAGTCAGAGAATGAAATAAGGGGGGGACGAAAAACCTCTTGCATAGTTAAAAAATATTTATATTCCTTGGTCATGGCTGGAGTTCGGGGGGGGGGGGGGAGGAGATAAGTTGCAGTTGAATTATGTTACTGCAGTGGTGGCGGCTAATGAACAATTGAATTTATAAGCTAAGTTAACGTAAATACCTCTTTTTTTTATAGGTTTTGCATTACTTGTTTGTTAGTTCATTGTTGTTGTTTGTTCTTAA